GAGAGTTATTTCAGTGATTCTCATTAAACATTTGATTTCTGGGGTTTTGGATAAATTGACTTTGGAAGAGTTTGCATAGCTTGACAAAAGGTTCTTTTACTGTAACTTCAATATAGTAGACAACATAAATAGTGGTAGCCCGGGGCCCTATGCAGCTGTCACTGAAAGTCCCAGTGGGTGGAATCGGACTTCTATACAAGCTGTACAGTCCAAATCTAAATTACTTATTTCTTCTATGCCAAGTTCAACATTTCATTCTGAATATTTTAATTTACTCCATATTGATAAAAATTGGGAAATTCATGATGATTCAGAAAGACTTTTAACTAGTGAGGATCAGGATGTTAATTTCATAGATGACATTTACATAGGCAGCTTGTCTGCATTGAATAACATTTCAGATTCAGAATTCTCTGATGTTGATTAATGAGTGAATTGGGTTTAATTTGGTGTTATATCATTAATATTCTTAATGATTCTTTTTTATTCTTCCATCTTGCAGGTGAAAGCCATGCCCAACAGGATTGTCACCAGCAGGATACCAGGATGTTATATTTAGCTTGAGATTGTGGATATATATATAAGATGTATTATGTACAGAGATCTTAATTCCCATTTATTTTGTTTATTGTAATGTTAATACAATTTGGGAGCGTATTTAATATTCGATTCAGTATTCAATGTCTACTCTAACTTTCAAGCATGTGTTAAGTAATATATGTACTGTAAAAGATCTACAATGTAATGAGACTTTGATATCACAAGTATTTGATATCCCAATCCACAACAAAATGTACTACTTCGTTATTTGGTAATGAGATAAATGTTAAAGCAACCTTAATGGCTCTTTGGTAATTTTGTGTATAATTGATTAATCAATATAAAGGACAATTAACATGTATGTGAGAGAGATATGTTTAGGGATTTCCCAGCACTTTTAGAAATAAACAAATGCTACTGTGTAAAACTAGGGACATGAGGACCTGTTATCTTATTACAGTAAGCAGTACACATGGACTATACATGTAGATTGGATATAACAGATCCAGGATAAAC